ACTTCAGTATTCCTTATGTTCTGAAGTATTGTTTGGGAAACAGACAGAAAAGCTGGGTAATTCTAGAAGAGGAAAGAGAGGAAGAGTACTTTTCTACCGATCTCTCTTCCATTTTGTACCTATGTGAATTTCTTTGACATGTCTGCTGTGTCTGCATCAGGACCTGTAGCCAATTCTATTCACATCCTGCACACACAAACCCCCGTTCTGCAATGCTGTGTTCTGCCAAACTTGTGTTCTGTGTGCTGGCCCTAATGCATTCCTTCTAACTTTTCTGAGATTCATGAACCTCCTACTGCAAAACATCATCTCCCAGCATACATCCCCCATATGTTCATGGTTAGAAAGTACATTGGTGCATTTGTCTTGCCTTTTAAGTATAAAAATTAAAAAGGAACCTTATTTATATGTCAGACAATGGAGTATTTCTGATGTTCCCTGTCTGGCACTGGGTTCAGTGTGCTGCTGGGGGCACTCCCTTGCCTGGGCAGCATGGGACAATCATCCTCCTTCTACTGAGCATCTGCTTGTGTTGCACAAATACGGCTCCTAATCATAATGGCCCCAATCCTATTTATTTGGTCCAGTATCAATTTAATTTGGGATTAATTCCACCTGGTTTTTATTTTCATGTTTAGCTACATGAGTCTATTTAAAGAAAGGGAAGATTTTCCCCCCACATTTACAGGTCAGTTTTACAACTGTTTTTCAAAACACAAATAACCACCACTGTGGATACAGAAATAGTTTAAAATAGGTCATGCCTCAGGATTTTCTTTCTAAAGATCAGTTGCTGTGATTTGCAAAAATGAGAGCAATTTTTCAAGCCTGATTATGAAAAAATACCTTTTTTCCCAATAAAAATGCAAAGAACTCTATTAATAGATTATTTCCCATTCATCACATCTCTCTATACTTCATAATGCACATTGTCATGCAGCTTCATTCTTAGCTTATATACACTATCAAACCTGGAAATTCACATCCTCAGTATCACAGTTTTCTCCTCTCTGCAGGGCCCCAGAGACAGGTGTTTCTCTAAGTGTGTAGTCTATGTTTTGGATAGCAGGAGTGACCTGAAGTGCATTTGTAGCTGCTGGGCCATAGGAGATTCTGCAGTTCAGGTTGTTCCAACACTTCCTAAGGGATCCAAGCAGACGCAAGGGGGACCCCTGTGGCATTCAGCTCAATTCAGCAGAGGAGTGATTCACTCTCTGAAAGAAACATCCATATCAGCAGTAGAAGATTACAACAGTGTTATGGTATCAGCAGAAACCACAGCTTGGCTCCTCTGCAAAGCCCTTTCAGAAGTGTATAAGCATAACAAAAAAGTGCTTATGAACATGGCAAGGTGCAGAGGGGCTGTATCACAGCAGGGGTTAACTGCGCTGAGCAGTAATGATTTTATGTAGGCTGACTAATGACCCCCTTTTTTTCTTTGAAAACATGTTTGGAATGCTGATGTTGCCAGGAATAGGTGAAAAGCTGCCCCAAATTCCACTGTATGTATTTCTTTCTTTAGAAGGAATCAGGAATACAGCAAGAGGTTCTTTGAAGCTCACTGTGGAACCTCCGTGCTCCACAAGGGTTTAAAAGGAGCACATGGGTGGCAGAAATGCCTCTTCCAGTTCTGCCCCATCCAGAATGAGCACAGGTCTCACCTGTTGGGCTTTGCTGTTTAACAGTGGGGCTTGGGCCCAGGAGAAACTGAGATGCTCCATCCTGAAACTCAGGGGAGAAAAACAAACAGGATGTGTGCTCCCCCATTCCTTCATCTCTTTCACGCTTCCCAGTAAGTTTGAAGGGAAACTGCACGGTGTTATCCATGCTCCCTCATCCTGCTTCCCCCAGTGTCCCTAGTGCAGTGTGACATTCGGGAGTGGGTTGTCTCTAGACTGGACATCTCCCTTGTGCTGTGTGACACCTGATCTGTTTTATATGCTCAAAATAGCAGCAGCAGGGAGCTCTGGGTTAGAACTGCTTTTGTAACTAATGGAAGCTTTCATACAGTAATCACAACAAAGCAAATCCAGTGGATGGAGTGTGCAAGAAGTAAATAGTTGTGTACACTCCGGCCACAGTAAGGAGCTGCACAGACAGCATGTGGCTCTGTTTACATACACAATATTAACAGTATCAAATCCAATTAGGGAGGTGGAGATCCTTATCATCACATTAGACAGCAGTTTCCAGTGTGTGAATCAAGAGTTCAGCATTTCCTTCCTGGTCTGACTGATGCTGAATTGTTGGATTTATCTTCCTTGATTTGTGGTTCTGTGACTCTGGTGAAAGGTCAACAGAGAGCATAAACCTGGGCTGTGAGCAATGGGTGTTCCTGTGTGAGTGAAAGAGTGAAAGCTCCAGAAAAGCTTTACTGCTTTCATGCATTGTGGGCAAAGAAATTCCCTTAGCAGTGTCTTCTGCTTTTGTTCAGTCACAAAAGAGTAGGATTCTCTTGTGAAAAGGAAAATTTTAAGGGAATTTTTTGTTGTAAATGTGTGCAGGCAAGAAAAGCACTCAGATTCCAGGCTCTTCCCTGCACTATCAGTCTCATAAGGGTTATTCAACACAGTGCTTCATACCATCACAGAAGTTAGGCTGGAACATCTGAGTTTAAATTTCTCTTTGGGGTATCCCTGCTGGACATGGTCAGACACCCTCTCTTCTTACTTAAAAGTTAAAATAGTGAGAGTTTTCACCTGTTCAGAGTGTCTCCTGGCACATCTTCCCTTTATGGCTGAGCAATTGGGCAGTTCACAAAGAATTTGGGGTGCACACAATCATGGCTTCAGCTTTGCAGACCTCACAGAAGCCCTCAGCCCCATGGCCCTGCTGATCCCAGTGCCACAATTGCTGGCTGCAGCCCTGCAGGGCTGCACCTCTGAGGGAGAGATCCTGCTTCCAGCTGGCCTGCTGACCCTCAGCCAGGGAAACTGCCCTGCACTCTTACAAGTTGCTTTTCCTACGATATTTAATTACCTTACCCTTGGGATTACATTTCTGTCTTTTCCAGGGATGTGATTAAACTCTAATAAAATAACCATTTTACTTAAATAGTTTTAAAAAGCTGTAATCCCCTAAAAGAAATTTTTTAGCTCAGTTAATGACTGCTAGCTGAAATGCTATGTTTGTAATGAGTTTATCCAAAGGAACTTAGAGAAGGCACCTGATGCCCTAGGGCAGAATGTTGTATTGCAGCTCCATTTGGTTTTACAGTTTAAACAAATTATAATTTTTAAATAAAGTGCTTTCATTATTTAACAAGTAATTTTGATAAAAAAATTGCTTGGATTTAACACATATTGAACTAGTGTTCTTAATCACAAAGTACACAAAAAGATTGGCTCTTTTGTATTGTTTTTGGTCAAAATATCCCCCACACTCATTGCATATAAGGAAATTTTGATATTATAACAAAATTTCACAACAGTTGTAACTTTGTTAAACATCAGATGCTGACTATCTCCCCAAAACAAACTCTCAATTTAAAGAATGCTTGAATTCTATCCTGACATTTGGAATGGCTTGATGATGATGTCATGCTAGGAAAACAGCAGCCACAAACAGAGCAGGAATAAGAAAAAAAAGAAAGTGTATAGGCAAAATAATGATTCTTCTTGGAATAGTATATTCAAGTTTCCAGTCAAGGCTTAATGTGCCTTGCAGTAGTCACAGAATTCCAGGTATTTCAAATTTGTAAGTCCACTGATTATTCCCTTCTCTTTCAATAGGTTGCTGATTTCTAGTCTTTTTGATAAATATAAAAATGAAATACGTTTTAATATTTAGCACTTACATAGTGAAACTCCTAAGTAAATGAAATATTTTCGTTTGGACTTGGAATAAAAGTGAAACAAAAATCAGGCTTCCAGCTCATATGACAAGCAACAGCACCCACATGGATTTTATCAGCTTATGACAACTAAAAACCTGGCCAGAGGAAATTAGGGTTGGGGTTGGTATATAAATCAGTGGTAGTTGCCAGTTGGTTTCCATATCAACCATAACTCTGAAATTTGTGAGTGCAGCTGCCCAGCTAACTGTGTCATTGGGAGAGTGCTGCTGAGGGAGCTGGGCACATCTGGGAGGGCCTGGAGCACACTGAGAGCCCCACTTAATGCTGCTTCTCATCATAAGTTAGTTCTCTTTCACTCTGTCCCTTTACAGGCTGATTCTGGTTCTGGAATTTGCTCTGGACAAGAAAAAAAAAGAGCAAGTAAAGACAGAGAGTCCTTTGTCATATTGTCATATGACAGATATGATGACAATGACTGTTGTGGACATGCAAATGGGATCTTCTTGTTCCCAGTCAGTTGGGATCATCTAGCAAGGAATCATGTTCAAATTTTAAAAAGAAAAGAGTTTGTGAAATACTAACTTCATATTTTTTTCATGTTTTTTCAAGTTTTGAACTTCTGCAGGTCTCCCATTTAACAGACTGAAGTACAGATATTGTTTTGAGCTGTAACTAGCATCTCCTCACTCCAAGAATTTTGATTAGAAGTGCTATCATTTGTATCTGAAGTAAGACTAACTACCAGTGTACCTGACAGATGCTTAGAATGTGCCAAAAAGTCAGCCAGGATGATGTGGGTTAGCTTTCAGCCACCAGCAAAGCTGGGATTAGATAGAATACCTCAAGGCATAACATTTTGGTTTTTGTTTGTCAGTGTTGGACTGTTTGTGACTCTACCACTTTCCTTTGCTTCTGGCCAAAAGAGCAAACAGATACTGTTTCCAAGCAAATGAAATAAACCAGCTATATTTCTATGAAAAAGGAGGAGTTGCTAATATTTTCCTTATCTGTGTCTCAGAGCTGCTGCTTGCTCTGCCCCAGGACACTGAACCCGTCCTGGCTGTTCCCATCCCACACTCCTGTGCTGTGCCAGGACACGCTGCTGCTTTGTTTGCTTTAACAAGTGTCACTGTGACCCTCAGCTTTCCAGGGCTCTCAGCTCAATGGAGATGCTCACAATGGTTTATTGTTAGCAGGGAGTGTGGCTGGAGGAGCTGGGCACCCCTGGATGGTTGGAATCCTGAGCTGCAGCAGAGCAGCACAGCAGGAGCCATGTCGCTGCCCTTCCGAAAGGAGCTGGAGAAGTACAAGAACATCAACGAGGATGAAATACTCAGCAAGCTCTCAGAGGATGAACTGAAGCAGCTAGAACATGTCCTTGATGACCTTGATCCTGAGGTGAGTGATGAGAATTGCAGCACTGCCTGTTAGAAATGCCACACACTGCAGGATTTTTAATTTCTATTCTGTGACAGTGTGCTCTAAAGTATGAGCAGCTCAGCTGCAGACATTTTGGTTGTATTCCTGCTGTGATGTGCTACTTTTGTAAAAATCACTGTGCTCTTGGTCTATTTAGACATGAGCTTGTCTGCAATCTAAATTTTTAGTCATGTTGGCACACTGCAACAAAATGAGAAGCTTTTTATGGCTGCTATTTCTGAGCACAGCAATAAACAAACATAACCTGTGTTTATGGAGATCAGCTCTTTTGAACTTCTGAAATCTGTTGACTGTGTCGTTCAGCACATATATTTTTAGATGAAGAGAATATGTTTGGGTATGATCAAGCAAAACAGGATTCAGCTACACAACTGTCATTTTCCAGAGAGTAAGAATAATTGGGATTATATCTATCTATCTATCTATCTATCTATCTATCTATCTATCTATCTATCTATCCAAACCCCCAATTTTTATTTATATATATATATAAAATTATTATATTTATATAATAATTGAGAAATTGTCACAAAGAATTTAAAGATCTCTGGTCTGGTCTGAGAACCACTTGATCGTACAATAGCAAGGTTACAGTCACAAGTGTGCAGGGAATTGTGACTGCACCTACTCAAAAATATTCAAACTGATGTAGAAGCTTGAAAACTGGTAGGTAAAATGTTCTGTCTGGAGGCAAAATGAATTTGGAGAAACACAACAGAATTATAGCTGCTAATTTTATAGCACCAGTTTGTCTGGAAATTAATGGGAACTTTAGTGTTCTCTCCCACCATGTTGCCACTTCCCACACTACTACCACTTCTACATTTTCTGGTATTTTCAAGTATCTGGCATCTCAAATGGAGACACAGAAAACCATTAAAGAAGCACCACCAACCAACACAGTAAATCAGGCCATGGTGCATTTGTATTTATGCTACATGAGTGCAGTGAATTTGGAGCACTCTGGGCACATTTGTGCATGCACAGGTGAAATAACTGCTGACTTGAGTTGTTCACTGGATGTGCTCAGAATTCCCTGCGCATTTGCCATGGATCAGATTTCCTGTGCATGTTCTGGCCAGTGAGGAAATGTTCCTGAGGTACTCTGGGGCACCTTCAGCACGTTGGCATTGCTGCATGTGCACTGCAAGGTCCACCTACCTGTATTGCTCCTTGGGATTTGCTGGACTGAACTGTGGGGCCTTGTGCATATTCCCATGTTACAGGATGCAGGGGAAATCACAGGATCCCACAGCTACATCTTGAAAGTGGGAATTATCTGCTTGCTTCCTCATACTCTGAATAGCTGAGGTCTACCTCATTCACCAGTCTCTTTAGTGCATGCCATTCATTTCTGAAGTCTGAGAGACATCTGCTTTAGAATGAAAGGAATTTTGTTTTCAGTGAGAGAAAAATGGAAAAAGAGTAAAGGAAATTTACAGAAAACACAGCCTGGTTTATCTACCTGAACTGCAAACTGTGGTTATAATGACCTTACTTAGTTCTTCAGTGCTCTGACTGTGGATATGGTTAATACCAATATTAGTGGGTGTGGTTGCATTTGCAGGGGTCCCAGGACTAGGGAAGAGATGAGAATCTTGACTCCATGTTTCAGAAATCTGATTTATTAGTTTATGATATATATTGTATTAAAAGAAGATGATACATTAAAACTGTACTAAAAGAATAGAATAAAATATTTCATCAGAAGGCTAGCAAGGAATAGAAAGGAATTGAATTATAATAAAATCTTGTAACTAACCAGAGAGTCTGAAACAGCTGGACTGTGATTGGATATCAATTAAAAACAACTATATGAGACCAATCAAAGATGCTCCTGTTGCATTCCACAGCAGCAAATAATTATTGTTTACATTTCGTTTCTGAGGCCTCTCAGCTTCTCAGGAGAAAAAATCCTAATGAAAGGACTTTTCATAAAATATGTCTGTGACAAGTGGGTAGTAAGTCAAGAACACTGAATGATGTGCTGGATTTCATGATTACGTTTGGGTCACGTGTGTTACTGCTGTCACCCAAGAGCATTATGCAAAGCATGATTTCACTTGTGAACCCCTGAGATGAGGTGTGGAGCAGAGTGTGCAGCTGCCTGTGTCCTTTCCCTGCCCTGTCTCTCACAGAATGCCCTGCTCCCGGCGGGATTCCGGCAGAAGGACCAGACCACCAAAGCCGCCACGGGCCCCTTCGACAGAGAGCGCCTGCTCTCCTACCTGGAGAAACAAGCCTTGGAGCACAAGGACAGAGAGGACTTCGTGCCCTTCACGGGGGAAAAGAAAGGTACTGGCCATGATTTGGGCAGCAGACAGACAAACAGAGTCCCTGCTGTCTGCTCTGTGCAGTGTGCTGGGTACACCAGAGCTGGGGCTCTGCAGTGCAGGGCGAGGCTGCAGTCAGAGCTGGAGCTGCTGCAGCAGAAGGGGAAGGGCTGGTTCAGCTGCTCCAGTGTCTGCCTCACTGCTCTGCAGTCCCAGTGGCCTGTCCCAGTGGCAGCTCCATGGCCTGTCCCAGTGGCAACTCCATGGCCTGTCCCAGTGGCAGCTCCATGGCCTGTCCCAGTGGCAGATCCATGGCCTGTCCTAGTGGCAGATCCATGGTCTGTGCTGGGTTAATGCCCAGATTAACTGGGTTTACAGCACCAGGAGCACCAGTGCAGCCAAGGGCTCGGGCAGCAGCTCCCTGCTCAGCCAGTGCCTCTGGGTGCACTCAAGCACAAAGGTGCCCTCACCAGCCCCACAGGGACTGCTCCCTGTTAAGCATTAGGCCATGCAGGGGTGTTGAGTGGGGGAGGCATTCAGGAGCAAACACATAAATGCCTTTCTGAGTGAGTCTTGCCTACAGCTGCTGTACGTAACAGCTCAGGGAATGCAGTTACAAAAAATAGGTATTTTTCCACTTGTTTACTATCACATCTGGCAATGCTATTCATGCAGACACTTTCCCTGCTACCCTTGTCCTACAGCTACAGGAAAAAAAAAGGGGAAAACCAGGAAAACCTAATTCTAATAATTTAAACACTGGTAAGATAACCTCAGGGCAGGAACAGTCATAATTTAAACAAACAATATTCCTTTAGTACCACTAACTCCTTTTCCCTGTTTATAAAAAGGGGACAAAAATGCTGGCCTCAGGCAACCCCTTCATTCAAGAAGGAACTTCCTATGTCTGGGTCCATTTCTGGCTATGTAATGCATTTGCCATTATTTCAATGGGATCTGCTTAAGGGAAAGCAAATACTTCAAGAAACTCAAGGGCAGTATTTTTTTAATTATGTACAATTACCAAAGATGTAAAATGTTATTTATACAACATTTCATAGGCCAGGAGTTGTTACTATCATTACATTGTGTTCTCAGTCTTTGAAACAATGATTTCAGACAAATGAGACATTTTCCAGCTAGATCTGATCAATGTGTCATTTTTCCATGCAGCATTTTCTTTAACCTACTTTTTGCCCCATCAAAATGCCCACACACTGCTCTTCAGAGAGCTGATGGTGAGCCCCTGACATGCAGTGAGAGGGCAGGACTGCCAGTAGCAGGAGAGGTCAAGCACACACTGTGCAGGAAGGAAAGCACTTTACTGCAGTATGGATTTGTTACCAATTGTTTTCAGTCTCCTACCCATGCTGGGTCAGAGCACTACAAGTCACTGCTTGCAGGCCTCCAGGTATTTATACCAACACCTCCAGTCATGTCTCACTTTACTGATATTTACAGATTTAAGGTTAAAATTTTGCAGTTTTCACTGTATTATATCTGAGATCTCCAGATAAGGCTGAAACATCAGTGCACAAACCCCAGCAGTGTATGGAATGGTACATACCCATAGGACTGGCCCTTGATCTGTACAAAATGAGTCCCTGCATTGTCCCTGACAGAGGTACTGTATGCACTGGGCTGTTAATTCCATTTCAGCTTTCTTTTGATGGAGCTGGAGCAACATTATTCCTACATTTGCTTCCAGATGCCCTTAAAGTGCTTATGAGTTCTGCTTATTAATTCCTGGTGTCTCTGGTGTGGAAATGCCACTGCTTTGCAAACACAACCAACCACACATTTCACTTCCCCCTGAGCACAGAGTGAATGCAGCCCTCCTAGCGTTTAAAGCTGTTCTTAATTTGGCTTTTGATTCACTGTGTTCATTTACTTCAAAATTACAATTTCAAGAATTATTACAATTATAAGGTAATGACAGCATTTTAGGCTACAGGAATTATTCCCTTAATTTCCTCTTTGTACAATACAAATTCATGACAAAATCCTTAGTATCAGCTTTAGCAGATTAAGTCTAATGAAAACAAGCATGTGTTCTGTGATTTCTGCAGTCATTTTACAATTATAATCTAAACACACAGAATTATACTACATTTTCTTTGAAGTCAGAGGCCAAATGCTATGAAAATACCCTTTGTTTCTTTGTTGGTTAGAAATAACAGAATTAATCTGAGATCTGATGAGGTCCAGTACCTTGACAATTGAGTGCACAGTGTCATTTTTGTGCTGCTTTAAGGGAACTGACTTTGAGAACAAAGTTGTTTATTTTGAGCTTGGCATATCCTGAATTGGTACTGGAGTGTGAGTCCAGCTGCCCCTCTGTGGCTTGGCAGGAGGTGTCCTACAGAAACACCTCCAATGCAGCAAACTTGCAGCAATGCAGCAGCTGAGCCTTATAAAACATATAGCTGCAATCTCCATCTGCCAGATGCACTGAAATCCTCCCATGGGTTCTATGATAAACCTGCTAATTTGCTGCTAATTGGTAAAACGTGATGGATGTTCTACAAAGTCCATGTGTGGCTATTCCTGGATCTTAGAATCTATGCTTGTAACTGCAGTGTGACTCATTTTGACACTCTCAATTGAAAAAAAACCAAAACAGGATGGCTGTATTAAAATAGAAATTACTTTTTTTTTTTTTTTACACTTATAAGAAGATATTTCCCATGCAAGGGAACAAAGCAATCCTGAAAGACATTTTCAAATCTGATGCCACATGCTAGATGCTCTAATTGGAGAATAATTAGTATTCTTCCAAAGCTCAGTAATTAGTTCAGGAAAAATAATTTAAATTTCTAAAATGTGTCCTCAGAAGAATTCTAAAGAAGGATATCTCTTGAGGAAAATCTTATTTCTCATCTTCTGCACGTTGATGGTCTCTAAGATGTATTTGCAGATTGGTAAATATTTATATGATTATATTATATAGATTTCTGTTAAATTATTTCTTTACACTCGAAATGCACTGTAATGTAGCCATTCTGTAAATAATTCCAAATTAATTTGATGCTATTTCTGCTAGTTAAAAATTAAATTCTCAAGCAGCTCTAAAATGCATCCAGTTGTGTATATTTGGGAGGAATTGATGCCAATTTGCCATTTGGTATTTATGACCTAAGAATATTTGTGTGTCAGTAGGATTAGAGTATGTCAAGTGTTGTTTGAACTTCTGTCAGTGTTTTGTACTATGATATTTGTCTGCCGCTGGGAAAGCATTTACTTTTTCAAATTTAGGAAGTGGGATGCTTCTGCTAAATGCAAAGTGACATTTCTTACAGTTCTTACAGTTATCATACAAAGCTAAAACTTGGAAATTCACTGATGAGCTGAAAATGAGCTTAAAATATCCTCCTTCCAGACCAGCATGTGGTACATGATGATTTTTTATCTACTGTTATTTTTTAACTACTGTGATGATTTTTTATCTACTCTCTTTTTTTGTTTTTAATATTTTATTAGAGAGTTCTTGACCCAGAAGCAATACCAAGCAGCTGCTGAAGGACAAAAACTCAGTTGCCTATGTTGGTCTCTGAATGTTGAGCAACCATAAGGTTTTAATTGTCCTAGAAACAAGCTAAACCAAATTCCAGAGCTGACAGGGATATGCAGAATGGTTAAAGCACAGGAAATGTTAAATATGAGCCCCAGACAAGGGGGGGTTGATTGTGCAGGGAGTTGCCTTGTTTTTGATTGTAATTGTGGTTTCAAGAGGTTGGAGAGGTTTGGCAAAAACAATCAAATGTATGGAATGCATTAGGGTTTTGGGCCTCTGCCATATTGCAGCTTGGTGATGTACTTCATTAATTGCTGTACAAAAAGGATTTAAGCCTGCATGGGAGGGATCTCGCATTTCAGTGGAGACCCAAGGTTTGCCCAAACCAGGGCTGGAATGATCACAGGCTCACACCCTAAGCTGGCCACTGAGAAATGTTTTCAGGCTGCTTTACCCACATCCTCCCTAATGCAAGTCAGGGCTGGGCACTTCATTTGAATGCCCATGGTGTGGTTTGACATGATCTGGTGGCTTTCAGGAGCTCTTGTGCAACACAGATGTGTGTCAGTAATGAGCAGTGTAGGCAGAGTAAGGGCTGATAACTGGGCCATGGTGATGGGCAGTTTGTAAGTGTTTATTTTGCGTATTTTGGATTTGTTCCTACTCAGGACAGATGTTCTAGAAATCCTTACATAGAACCTGATGGTCTGTGGAAGTTACTTAGGGTTGTACTTAAGTCCAGGTGACTCACTTGACACATATAGCTGGGACAGGTGGCTATCAGACTTCCATCACTGAAGTATCATTTTCAAGTTCATGAATGACCAAGGAATATAAAGAAAATGTAGGGAACATGAGGGGCAGTGCAGACACAAAGTATTCCAGAGCTCTGTCAGCGCTGTTTTCTCTGCAGTCTGTACCTCAGTCTGACCTCAGCTGAGAGCTGAGTCCTGCTGTGGCACAGACATCAACTGGGAACAGCATTTCTGCTTCTGCTTTCTTGCAGGGCTTCTCTGAACTGTATGGTACTAATGAAACACAATTAAAAAAAGTTCTTCTGTTGTGAAATGTCATTAGCCATGAAAGGTTTCTTTAAGGATTGCTGTTTCAACCCTTCACCACTGTCCCTGTTTTCTACACAGTCTTCTGCTCCTTGCCAAACCATTTCATTTTGGATCCCATCCAGTTCTCATCAAAGGCATGAAAAAACTCCAGTGGATTGGGCTATTATTATTTGTGGCTAGAAAGAGAAGGGGAACATGCTGGTATGTGATTAAATACTAACATTTTCAGCTGATTGATAAAAGGGAAAGGGAAGAAGGTACCAGAGAACTTTTGGCCAAACCTGTGTTTTCAGTTGCTCTGGCAGTGGCCATCCATGTTGCATGTGTTGCTGTGCCAGGCAGAGTATCAGTGCACAGCAGCAGTAATAAGGACAGTCATTTCCAGAAGGTCAGAGTGTTAGAGTGGATGCTAATGAGTTCCAATTCCCCTGTGTCTAACAGACT